CTCTATACTATTTCTTTTATTAAAGGTGTTCTGTACTCTTATGTAATAATTGATAGATAAAATGCTGACGGGTGGATAATAAATAATAATTAACCATGTATGTAAGCATCTCAAAAATATATTTTTCTAATTAAACGTACTAATTTTTTTATTCTTAGTATTAACATTATATAGGTACCTAATAGGTACCATTATATTTTTATTATTTATGGGTATTTAAAAAGACACTATGATTTTCCCTAAGTATTGTGGTCATTTCGCGTTTTGTCTGTAATATTAATTATACTAACTATTAACTATGTATAAATAGTTAACTTACGTACATAAATTTATATAGAACCTTTGACTAATTTATGTGTATATGTATACTTTAAATACAATTTGAGGAATGTGTATAAAAGTTTAATATAATTTATATAGTACGAATAAATATATATTTTAATCTATTATAGCATGTGAATCGTGTGATCTTAAAATAACACATGTCTATCCTAATTCTAAATACTAACCTCGTATAAATCGTACATTAAAATTGCTAAAAAATTATTGTTAGGTTAGGTTAATACTATTAATTAAGCGTACCGCTTAGGTACAAATTCGATTGTCATCGACGAAGGCAATAGTTATTTATTTTCTTCTGACGGTACGGTATAGTATAAAGTTATAAAAGTTTTTTTTTGTTAGTAATATTAAGAATTAGTGTTGGTTTGTCGGAGGGGGTGTTGAACCTTTAGCCGGGGTTTTATGGCTCAACAACAGTGCCGTGCCTAGGGGGGTGCGAGAGGTGCGTATGCACCGGGCACTAAAACTTTTTTATAATCTAATATTACTGATAGATAAAAGTTAACCGTATTAATTTATATTTTGAACGATTTCAATATAATAATATCATCCTGATCGGCGGTGTCGATTATAATATTTTGAAATGTATTGTAGGCAATTATGTAAAAATACCTATTCATGTATGGATATTATTGATTTTTATTTTTATCTCGAAATAACGATGTCGTTGATCGTCATTCGTCAATAACAATATACTATGAATATATGCAATATACTGTATGCAGTATGTATACTGCATTATTATTGTTATTTTATATAATTAATAATTTAATGACTTAATTTCGACTGGAACAAGTTGTACGATTTTATTTTGAACCCATCTATGATAGTGTTCACATCATTCATTGCAGAAGTAGGTACAAAATTATTTTTTATTAGCATTTATTTGAAGATTAATCATTTTTTATGTAATCGAACAAATTTGATTCGTAATAAAATGATACCGGTTTAGTATGATAGGTACCTATCTATCAATATTTTTATTCTACGTATACATATATACCTATGTATCATGCTATGAAACCATAATAATGTTATTATTTAATGTAATAATTGATAATAGGTATGTGCCGAATAAAAATGATAGTTAATTTTAAAATGTTTGAGATTGTAGTGTTTAACTAGTTTCAATAATACTGAAAAACTATTGATAAAAAATAAATTATTTTCGTATTCAGCGAAGAAAAATTTTACATGGTTAGGAATTGTTAAAAAACATTTTTTAAATAGTGTGTAATTTATATTTAATTATCAAACAACGAGTATTTTTTTTCGAATATCCGAGTCGATCGTGTCTTTACGCATCATGTATTTTTAATAAAAGGCTAATTATACTAATTAGTAATTATAACTGTTTTTTAAAATATATTCTGAAAGTAACAACGAAAAAATGTTTTTATATACCTAAGCACTTTGTTTGTCAGTTTGTACTTTTTGTATTATTGAAAATAAATTATAACTCCAACATTAAGTTATAAACTATGCTGGCCCTAAAATTTTGTGTGTATACTACGACACACTTTTTGTAGTATACAAAAAATGAAATGTGTACTACAAAATTTAAAAGTGTGTAGCAAATAAAAATGTTTTTCCTGTATTATTACTATTCATTTTACATCACTTGTTATAAACGTTTGATTAAAATATAGTGTGTAGTATGAAAAATAGAAAATGTTAGGCCTTAAGTACCATGGTTTCCGTGTATCATATTTAAACATGGTTGGGCCGTCGAGCTGTCTAGAAAATCTCGATGGATTCCTCAAAATATGGGTAGGTTGTGAGTGTATGGTCGTAATTTAATTTTTTGTTTATGATAATGATAAATGAGTATAAACATTAGAGGAAAATATTATTAAGTCGAATTATTAAACCATACAGTAACCTAATCAAGTGCTAGAAATCTTAAGACTCTGTATGACTGTATGATATAATAACTCTGATATAACTATCTGATACCTTGTTTGTCAACGTTGAATAAATATTATCAGATTATAATATTTTTTTGGGTTTTCAAAATTTTAAATATATCTTAATTTCTTTATTGCAACATAATACTCATATATATCTAGAAATGCAAAATGAATGAAAATTTTTTTAATCATCTCAAGAATTTCTAGTTGACAAAAAATTTAACTGTTATCTACAACATGAAATATAATATTTCGGTAATTTGTACATATATTTATTTACATTTACTTACGAGTCGAATAAATTAACAAATTACTTGCTTAGTATTATATTATAATGATCAATAAGATATGTGCCTGGTAGTTAATCATTTAAACTATTTTTCTATTTATGTTAATTTTATATTCAAATGATCAGTTCACGAACATCGAAGTTAAGTAAAAATTCTGTTAGTAAATATTATATTAAATTATTATTATTTTAAGCCATAAATATTAAAATGTGTAACGACTCAAAACATTTATCGACCATTGTTTGTAAGTACTCATTAATGTATAATATATACAATATATTTCATAAAAATTATACATATACATTGTCATGAACGCGGATGTATAAAGTATTAAAGTTAAGGTATATTAAATTTCACATTTTTACCATGTGCGTGTTATTAAAAAATAATTACTATATTTTATCTAATCTATGACCATAAACGTTTCATACGTAATTTGTATAATTTGGACATGATCGACACGTCTAATCCCTGTATAATGTAGATACGGATAGCATTTTTTTGAACGCCGTACAATGCCGATGATACTAGAACCTATAACATGTATAATTTGCGGTAAATAAAGAACATAAATTAAAAATAAACCAAGTATAGCTTTGATAAGGTTCTGTAATAAAATAATACTATAATTTATTACTACCGCCTATACTATTATGTAAACGCATAGCATTGGAACGGTTTTAAAACTGAGTTTGCTGTTGAATTTGAATAATTTGATCACTAATGGATATAATATAAATGTATTATGTATATTATAATACCAACAACTGGTAACTGCTTTAAGTGCTATAATATTATCTTTATCGCAGTCCACACTCCACATAATACTATATGAAAATAATATATTATAATATATATTATAGTCTGTGATAATATTGTTATACTGTAGGATAAATATTAATATCGATTTATCGGCCTAGGTTACCATGTTACTATTTATAGATGTAAATAGATTCGTAGAAATGAAACATAATATTATACCAAATGATCAATTTAAACTTTAAAGTTCAAAGACACTTTGTTTCAAAAATTATAAACATTTTTGAAAATATTTTTTTTTTATATAGGTAATATTAGGTTGTTAAAAAAACAAAGTTTTTCTAAGTATAAAATATTTTTTATTAAAAACTAATAAATTTTCATTAATTTTATTAATGACAACGTAGATTTTTGATTCCTCGTTCCAAAACATAATATTTTTAGAAATAATTCGATAGTTCGGGGTATACAAATCGAATTTTGGTCGAGTAGTTTATGACATAAGTATTTAAAGTTTAACGATAAAAAATAGTAAAACATATAATTCGTTTCTCCTAAAACGTTGTTTCGTTACGAGTGCTATGACTCAAAACTATGTATATTAAATATATATTTTCAAACACGTTAGTGCTCTCCGAAATATTGAGTGTCTTACGTTATTATCGATCACTCCGATCTATAATATAATTATTTATCATCGTTATTTATAAATTGAAAATATCAAAACGATTATTTGAAAATTAAAATAGAAAACACAGACTGCAGCAGGCTGATTCTGACGTTTATGTTTATTTATGATATTAATTGACAATCACCATTTACGTCGCAGTTCCTTATGCCTTATGGTTATCTTGGTACCTACCTATATAAATACTATAACACATGTCTAGCAAGTTTATGGTTAACGATAGGCATTGTGAATGCCGTTGGTCGACGGACACAGACGTTTAAGCTTATACTATTGTAATCGTATTCAGTGTAGACCGTACATGTTCAATTGAGTTCATCTAATAATATAAAGCTAAAAGTTCATAGATTGATATATACTGCTAATGTAATTTGTAAATATCACAAATTAATTAAATTAAATATATAAGAGGTACCTATTATATTTTTGTTTAAAATTGCACACGCAAGCGTCGGGTAAAGTCGGGTAATTCAATTACTTTATTCGATATAATATTTATTATAATATACATATAATACATATAATATATAAATCTTGAAGTTATAGATAGAAATTAAATTGCATACTATATATTATTACGAATAACTTTATCATGATACAAAACCTTACTTTTTTTTTAGGGAACTTCGCATCCCATTTTTGGTAACCAAGAACAACCAAATTCATCATATATGTTTTGAAATTTTGAATAATGTTAGTGGATGCTGAATTTATATTAAATTGGGCTAAGATTTTTGTAACATTATGTCAAATATAAGTACCTACATTTAATGTATGACAAAAAATGCAGGATATTATTATGTTTTGCTTCAGAATGAAGTTATTTTTTTTAAAAGAGTGGATTCTTCAAGAAAACAAAATAGTTTTATTTTATAAATTGTTATATGATATAAAAGTCATTACCTACTTATTTGTTAATTAGTTAAACAGGTAATATAAAATATCTTGTAAAAATAAATTAAAAAATTAGTATCATTAACTTATCGTTATTGTAAGACTAACATGTTCTTACTATTTTACAACATAATTTAGGTATATTATAGGATATTTAATATTAATAATTATAATGTAGGCCAAAGTCCTAAGGTATCTATGTATTATGGCAATAAGATTAATATTTATTATTATTTTATTTCATTTTCAGTATTAGAAGCTCTAACTTATTTCAATAATGTTTTTGACAGCCATTCTTCATAATATAGAACATTGGTATATACTCCTGGCTTATTGGCTCGTCCACAGCCATAACCCCAACTTGTTATACCCATAACAGTTTCACCTAAATAAAAATACAAAGAATAAATATAATTATATCAGATATTTTTATAATAAATATTTAACACATAAGCACATACTTATAAATATATAAAATAAAACATTCAAATGATTTATAAAATATTAATAGTTAATATTAATAAGTTTATACATAATTTATTAAAATATACCTAATAAAAATCATGTTAGTTATAGCTATATACCTAATAATTTTATAATATACACTTATTAAGTAATTGTTAATTTTTATATAGTAATCAGTATTTCTGTGCCCTAATTTTTGAAAAAAAAAATATTATTACCACGTTTACTATTTATATACACATTATAGTCGAGCAATTAAAATGCACTCATTAATTAGCTTACATAGAACGGATACACTTTTTCTGATGATTTAAAACTTTTAACAACATACATATTTTTTTAAGTTTGTAATATATATTTTTGTTATTTGTTTTTGTCGTATACATAAATTAGAACCGTATGGTTACAATAGTAATGAAATAAAGTTATTTACACAAAACAATAGTAATGTAAACTTTAAATTTTTAAATGTTTAATAAAATATGTGTACTCGGTAGTTACGGTAAATATAATATTATAAATTATAATGCTTTGATATTATTAAAAAAAAATCGTTTTAAACTAAATCAAATAGGTATACATTATAGGTTTTTGTTTTCATTCATTTATTTATTGTTGTGCATTTTTACCTAATTCTGTAGAGCAGACCATAGGGCCGCCAGAATCGCCTTGACAGGCATCAGCTCCGCCGTCTAGGTTTCCCGCACAAAACATTCCGTTGCTAATTGTCGTTTTTCCGTAGACATAAGCAGCTTTACATATTTTCATGTCTATTATTGGCACAGATGCTGATCGCAAGGTGTTAGCGAAACCTGTTAAAATTAAATCGACCAAATTAAAGCGAATGGTGTTATACCATATAATTAAGCACAGCTGGTATAATGATAACTGATAAACATACTTGAACTGATGGAACCGTCTGATCCCCATCCGGTGATGGTACAGTTCATATTAGAATTTAATTTGATAATTTCTGTTGGTAAACATATTGGCTGCACGTATTGATTGAATTTGATACCCGTGCCGGTAGTTTTCAATTTGATTACGGCTATATCGTTGTTCAATTTAACGCTTACCTCGAAATTTTCGTGAATGTAAATTTCATCAATGTAAATATCTTGTTCAGAGTCTTCGAGCGTCTAAAAAAAATTAATTAATTAATTTGGACGCATATATAAGTAATCAGTAATGACCAAAATTAATGCAATTACAAAAATACAATACCTATACCAGTAGCGTACTCATCACTTGGGATTTTTTTAAGAAAAATGTTAGGATTTTATCTACCATTATATTATTATAATTTATAATAAAATGAAGACAAGTATTTTTATTTTATCATTAGTTTTACTATTAAATACTACACATTTATATTTACATATGTTTACACATTATTATCTATATATAATTTATTTATTATAAAAAAGAATATTTACAATCTATATTGGAGTATATAGCATAATACGTAATTATTGTATATTTTATCAGTTAAATAATATGTAAAGAGAATCCAATCAATAATGAAACCTATTGTGATATATTATTTTAGGTTAATAAATCTCTGCAATGATTTCTCTTGAGTATATAGGTAAATTGATAAAACAGGTACTCATCAACAAACCAAATAAAAAACGACCGGTAGGAAGGCCAAGACAACGGTGGTTGGACCGAATAAAAGTCGACCTGAAGAGATTAAGCAATGGAGCAAGTATTGCGGATGCAGAAGATCGAGAACTTTGGAGAACTTTAGTAGAAGCTGCGAAGCGCCTAAATGGCGCGTAAAGCAATAAAAAAAAAAAAAAAAAAATATAGGTAGGATGTATATGAGTTGTGTATTGGATGACATTTTCGATACTAACAGGTAAGTATGGGAATGTAATTTGAAATAAAAAGATTCGTAATGTTTGGTGGTTAGTTGGTACTGATTCTATTTTAAGATCAGACTGTAATGTGGAGTTTAATACAAATCAATAAGGTGAAGTAGTAAACATGCGGAAAGTGATCGACTGAAATGCTAGTATGGAACGAATTTTGAACGGTTTGGCATAGCCTCAAATTTGAATCGCATATGCCCTATATGGGATACAAAAGAGATTTGTATAATGTATATAATTAGTTTGGTGCAAATTGGGAGCTTTGATTTTAAAATTGAACGAAGTAGATGTAGTCTACTGTTAAAGGTTTTCCTTTTTAGTTTAAAGTAAAGGCCTCAAGTCAGTGTCTTTTATCAAAAGTGATTCCGAGATATGTAACATCAGAAGATAATACGATTTAAGTACTACCTTGAAAGAAAACAAGTGGAGGATCGGTCCTTTTTAACGTAAATGGTATGTATACAGTGGCACATTTAGACATTAAGTGCCCTGGAGCAACATTTTACTAGCGTCCCCCCTCCTCAAGAAATGTACATTTTATTGAGTATTTTTTTGTAAATAATAGGTATAAATATATTTAAAATAATTATCAACAAACTTCAACAAAAATTTATTATTATATCAATATACCAGATAAAATTGAAAATAGAAAAGATTTTAGTATTGTGTATTAGTAAACTATAATAATTTTCATGCCCCTAAAATTAAGCGCCCGGGGCATTTGCCCCAGTAGCTCCCTATTAAATACGCCACTGTATGTATACTGATTAGTCAGGATTTTTTTTTTAATTCACCACTTAGTTGCCCAGTTGTCAATTGAATTTAAGTGGATTTGCGGTAGTTTGATGTTTATCAGAATTATTTTTGCCATAAAGTATTGCAATGTCGTCTGCGTAGGTGGCCATGGTAGTTGCATGGTGGTGTTTGTAGTTATAGGTAAGTCAGCCGAACAAATATTAAACAAGTCGGAAGAGAAATCGCTGTCTAGGGTATACCAGCTTTTCACATTATTATAAAATATATGTATATAATAGTTTAATTTAAATACAAAAAGTGAATTTTTATTCTTAAACAAAGCATATGAGGATGAGTTTATGCCTTATATTGATAATTATACCCCCCTTAAAACAATTATCCTATTTTATAATATAATACTATAGCTATAGTGCTTAGTGCAGGTAACTCAGGTAAGTAAGTACTTACTCCCATGTTGTAGTCACCAATTCTAACGTAATAGAAGTCTTTATCCAAATCACGTACACAATGTGCCGCTGTCAATACGTGGTACTTGGAAATAATTACCGCTCCGCAAACGTGTTCCGTTTGACCGGCCGGTGTCCTCGATCTAATACTAGCCTATAAAACATGGTTTACCCGATGATTGAGAATAAGTAAACAAGAATGATTATAAAATTACGGGTTATACGCAATCCAAGCCAAATATTTTGAAAGGTTTATTAAATATAAATTCCCGTATTTTACTTTTTACTTCACTAGAAGGCATTTATATTAAATAATAAAATTATTTCAATCTACTAAAAACGATAAAGCAATAGTTACGAGATACCTAATATAATATACTATTGAATCCATAAAAAAGTAAACGATAACTTTATTTATAATAATTTTTGAAATTGTATTTGGTTCAAATTGTTTCGAAATCCGATACTTAATGGAATTGTTTAAGTTATATCTTTTATTGTGAATATTACAAAATTAAATTGTTGGCCATATTTAAAATAAATGATTATATTGAGGACCAACGTAACAATAAGAAGTACCAACGCAGATTTAACCAGAGTATATATTATTGTTATATAATCATGTAGGTAATGGCATGGATTAAATAATATTATTTTATTCAAAAACATATTTATTACATTATAATATGTATTAATTATTTATTATAATATACTGACCTGCCAAGGATGATCCCCTCTTTCGGTCACGAATCCTGACGCGATTCTCTGTTGTACCATATTCATAGACTTTGGCACTGTCACTAACCGTCTTCCACACTGATTGGACAGCAGTTCTTTCAAATTCTTTTTTTTGGGCAATGCACTTTTCGTTGTCGTTTCCTGTGTGTCGTTTGTCTTTGCGATTAATAATGAAATAAAAAAAAGAAAATTTTAGTGTAGTCTAAAATAAGCCTAAACACAAAGTAACAATAGAAATTAGAATATGTCACACAAGTATACGTCATAGATAGACTATAGGATGATTCTTTTAATTTCATACGTAGGTAACCTACCTGCTTTTTCCAAAACGGGATATTCTTTAGAGAATTGAAACTCATAAAAATTGAATTTTATATGAGTAGTGAATACTTAAAACATAATTTAACTAGTAAAAGTACCTTCTGTACTAACTAGTTAGTCGTAAGTTTATATAAATAAATATTTAAAGTTTATATTATGTGTTAGGTTAGTATAGAGATACCGAGTACCTATTTTGCAAAATGTTTGTCTATAAAGCTTCTCTGACCTCTTATAGTTTATTAAAACTTTAAACTTTTCAAGAAAATAAGAATTAATCTTTAATAAAAAGGATCGCCTTGTATATTTTGGCCCAACATTGTGACCACGGATAGATGCTAGAAAAATGAATACAAGGCTTTACAAATACACAAATATTTGAAAAATCATTCACTAAAATTGTTTTGGGCTAGGCGCTAGCAATACATAGATGTATTATGTAGGTATAACTATTTTTATTCAATCACGTAGTTATCCGTTCTATATTTCTATAGTCACTCTAATAGATAAGTACTGTGTAGGTAGGTGTATTTTTATTGACATAGTTTAATGGCAATTTTGTTTTTGTACAATAGATTCTTTAAAACCCATCATGCGATTATACGAATGGGTAACAGTGGCGGATATTTGAATACCTTTATGAACTATGTTACGTTGAATATTATTATAATATTATTTGAGTAATTTACGTAGATACTGTTTAAAGGATTTATTGTTGCATCGTTGTTTTTTTTTTTTTTTTATTATTGTTCGTAGTTAACATATTATTTTATTACAAATTAAATGGATGGATATTTAGTTGGTTTATTTTAGAATAGAAGGGTGCTAGTAATATTTAAAGTAAATTGGCTAGCATCCAAAGGTTATAACATGGTCCACGAAAGACGGGATGTGCCACATACATATGAGAGTAAGGCTATTGAAATTGTTGTAGGGCCGTAACTCTTCTTCCCTTTGATCACTTAATAGAATAAGTAGTTTCCTATAATTTAATCTATAATATTTGTATGTTTATGTTTACAACTAGGTAAGTATGTACCTATATAGATATTTGTTGGTATATAGCAGTGTCTGTCCATGTTGAAAGTTGTAATTTGTATCTACTAGAAAATATAAGCGGAAGTTTTTTATGTCCAGGTCTTGCCTTACGATACTTCCATCGTTCAGGATTTAAAATACCTTAATACTTCTTCAGCAATGTCTTTACAAAGCTAAATTTTAAATTTAATTACTTTTTTAGAATCCGAATGGCAAATAACAGACACGTCTTCGGTGTGTTTACAATTGTGTTGTCCCCATTTCTCATGTAAACAATGTTCCAAAGATGTTTCGTTGCCCACGCACCGCAATTGATCTAACCAGATCAATCCATTTCCGGGACCAAAAGCTGCTTCTTTTTTAAACTAAATATATTTTACACAGAAGAAAAATAAAAATAATATATCCTGCACAACCTTAAAAAGTATAAATTAATTTAAATTTAACGCTCACTTCTGCTGTTCCCTTAAAACCTAGACCGTTACAAATGACCAATGCTTCGTTGGTACCAAAATCATCATCACACACAGTTCCCCATACACCAAACTGACGTACTTCGACCCTGCCTTCCATACCTGCTCGACGTTCGTTACCACCGACTAAACGTATCTCTAAAGGCGACTGCACCATAGAAAATTAATATTAAAGTAGGTTAGATTAGATGAAAAGTACAAACATTTTAGTGGAAGTAGATAAGAAGAAAAAAATAAAGGAATTGAAAGTCGAAAGTTGAAATTCAACACATTTGTTTACAAACATGTAAACAAATTTCTTTTTTTTTTTTAGATAGTTAAAATTCCACATTAAAATGCTGGCATTAATAATTATTAAACTCTGTCAATTCAAACGCCAGCGTTTTAACTTGGTTTTTTTTATTAACATACAAATAAAAAACACAAAATAAATAATTTATATTTTAAGAATGTTGAAAATTCTCTATTCTAGAGTATTCTCCAATTGAATTATTCAAGTTCTAATCTATATATCACATTCAATTATTGTATAATTTTTATGTGTAACAGATTGTAAAAATAAAAATATTTGATTAAAAATTAATACATAAAAATAGTTTTAAACAAATACATTAAACTCTGGCATATGAATTAACATAATATAATATTATTATAATGATTAATAATAGCTACAAATACTAATGCACAAAATTATCCTTTTTTCTTAGGAGCTATTTTCTGAATAAATTTTTTTGGAGCCTTAGTTGTTGTACTAGTTGTTGGAATTATCGGTGTAGTAGCCTTAGTAGTAGTGACACTCACATTACAACGTTCTGGAGTTTCGTCCGAACCGTCAGCACAATCTGTATATGAATCACATAAGAAACGTACTGGAACACATTCTCCAGAATTACACTCAAATTCATCGTTTGAACAAGCTTTCCCACCAGCAACTCTACACACCACACCAGCTGACTATAAAACAGTAAAAAAAATTAATATCAGTATAATAAATAGAACAATAAAAACACATTTGGTATTTTAAAAGCTACCTCTTGAGCATTGCAATCATGAACTCCCCACTCTTTAAATTTACAAGAGTATAATGAATTTTCAGTTCCGTTACAATCTAGATCATCCAATACAAATCTTGTTTTGTTAGGCACTCCGTAGAAGGAATTTGGTTTTACAGCAATAGAATTTAGAAAACCAAGTTCTCGACAGATGACATTAGCTTCTCGTAAATCAAATTTATCATCACATATAACTCCCCATTCACCTAAGACTATAACAATAAATAAGTATTTAATAGGATAAAACTACTCCCATAACTTTTTATTCTTATAATACTTTTGACTTCAACACGTCCTTCATTAGTGGTATTTCCACCCATCAGTCTAATCTCATATCCCATCATATCTTTAGTACATTTAGTTTCATCGCTACGATCTCCACAATCATTATGTCCATCACATTCCTGAAAAAATGTGTAAATAACCATTATTATTTACAGGTTTTTGTCATATCTTAAAAGTTATAAATAAAAAATAAAATGTACTTTTGATTTATCAACACAATTTCCATTTTCACAAATAAATTTTCCTATACAAAGAGCTTTATCGGTTTCATAATAATCCCAATCTTTATCAGATTCTAAAATTGTTGAAGTATCACCTTTTGTTCTTTCGTTTAATATACAAGTTTGATCGTTTTTACTAAAAATAACACAATATTAATGAATAAAAAATTATTCAACTAGTATATGATTAAATAATTTGATCTTACTTATGAGAAAATGATTGACAAACAAAACCATCTGCTTGCATGCAACGGTTAGCACAAGTGTTAACAGTAGTGTGAAGCCATTTTTCAGCTTCATGATTTGTTAATCGAGCTTCTGGAGTTTTAATAAAATTGTCCATAACATTAGAACAATTTTTTTCATCCATACCGTTACTACAGTCCTAATAATTAAAAATAAAATAATATTATAATTACTTGAAAAATACTTTCAATTAAATAAAACACACAAACATAATATTTCACCCACTTTGACTAGAAGATATAATGTAGATTACATTCATTATTTAAATTGTAGAGACATTTAAGAAAAATGATTTTTAAGTAAATAATTTAAAAAGAAATAATACATTTCTAATCACCCTAAATTGTATTTATATTTTAATAAATAACTATTATTAAATTTAACATGTTAATTTAATCAACTTACTGCTTGATTATCACAAACCCAGGCTTGAGTTATACATTCATTGGGTTGACATTCAAAAAATCCTGCATCACATTTTGGTTCTTCAATCATTCGACTAACTAAAATTTAAAACATTAATTAATTGAAAATATTTTAAATAATTTAAAACTATTTTCTATGCAACCTTTTGGTGATTTAGTGGCAGCATTACAAACAGGTATATCACAAAATTCACTTCGCACTATTCCATTTGATGTTTGTACATAACACCATGGCAGTAAATCAGTACCATCAGGGTTTCTACATTTGTTATGTTTGATTAATTGTGATCTTCGAGTTTTTTCTGATACTCTGTACTTCATAGCCACTAAAACTTGCTGATCTTCCCAGAATAAACAGGCATTACCAGAGGAAGTCGTGTTTGCAGAACCAATGTAATCTGAACCGGCCCCATTCACACAACCTAGCAAATTTCATTTGTCAAATGAATATTATTTATATTAATAAGAATATTATTATGTCATACAATAAATTATTTAATGAATTAAATCTTTAGTAAAAAAAAAACCTTACCAATGTCATCAACATCTCGTTCACAAACATAAGGCAGTCTATCAGTCTTTGTTCCACAATCGATGGCTTCCCAATAATAGTATTCAGAGTCACATAATTTTGTGCTGTTTGGATTTGAAGGACAAGGGAATGATTTTTGTAATACAATACATAGTGCACGGTTTGTTTTTATATTGGGCGAAAGAACTTTTTTGAATTCCCAACCTAAAAGCAAAATATATAATTAGTATTGCATATTAAACTAAATAATATTTTAATCATGTTATTACCTGGCCACCAATTTTGGTACACAAATGGATTTTCAGTGCCTTCCCAAATCCATATAGGACTTCCTAATAATGATACACCAACTCCTGATGTCAGAATAGGACTTTCTGTTTTCTGTCTAGACAACCATTCAGATATGAAATCATTTTCTTTCTAAAATAAGTGAAATAGTCTGCTATAATAATAGACTAGTTGATAATAGATATGTATTTATGCTATATATTGAATATTAACAGTAAATACATTTTGATTGAACTTAGTAAGTATGAAAAGAGTTTAAATTTAATAAAAATATGTAATTTTTTCAAGTTAATGTCTACTTTTTATCTAAAATATTTTGAAATATTTACTTGTGAGCTAATATCTAAAAGTTTTCCTCCTCGTTTAAGACAGTGTTCCAATGCTTCAGCTTTACTATAGCCAATGTCTTGAGCTTTACTTTCTTTTTCAGGTACAGGAATAAATAATTTATAACATTTTCCATCATACGACACCTCTTCTGGTTGACATTCAGAGCCAGAATTCGATCGACATTTTACCCAGACAGCATCTCTTTCAACATTACAAGTTTTATCTATTAAAATGAAAAATAAAGCAATAGATTAATATACGAGTAATTTAAATATTTTATGTTCTATTTAATTTTAATTAGTTGTTTATGTTTACATATAACTAATATAATGTGTTTAAAATTAAAATTTTTTAACTATTTTAGAATAGAATGATCATGACATTTGGATATGATTTGTGGAATTTATAACGCCTACCACCTAAGACATCACTCTGACCATTCAAAATTAAAAAATGAGTATAAACAAAGAACATGATATATTAATTTATAAATTTAAGAATTATTTTGTTATTAGGTATAATATGAAAAAATCTTTTTCTATAAATAAAAATTAACTAAATACCACCTACTATATATTTATATCTAATAAGTTATTGATAGGAGCAATGTATAAATAAATTATAGTAAAAGTTGTACATTTTGATCAATGGATATTGTTGATGATAATAATAATATAGATATTATATATTAAGTAGTATCATAGTAGAGATCGCTAATTAGTGTTTTTAAGTCACTTTTAGATTCAGGAAGATTTTAGGAGCTACCAAAATATAATGTACATGTTTATTCAAAATAAAAAGCAAAATCAGAAAATCAAATAAAAATTATTAAAAACCGCTTCAATTCACTATAAAAAAATTAAAAATACACTTCTTATTTGTAGACCTGAAAAGGTTTGTTTATATGCTACAAAAGAAATGCAGTCTACTATTGTATAACCTCTATGTTATAATATACCTAGTAATATAGTTAATTAATTATTATTTTAGACTTGAACTATGATATAATAAATAGATTATACTTGGTAGGGCAGTAAGAATAATTTAGTATATTTTTACTTTCTTTAAAATGTGCATAATAAGAGCTTTTATATACTTAATGCTTATGAATGTATGATTTTTTTATTTAATAAAAAAATAATTGCTTTATATATTAAATTAATAGTATTTGGTTCTTTTATAGTACTCATATCAAACTTACCATTTTGGAGTTTACAATTATGAAATGCACTTTCTTGGCCATTACATGTTACTTTGGTAACACCTATATTTCTTAATAATTTAGTAGGATTATCAGTAGTCACAGTTAAACCTTGCCATGTCTGTTCTGCTCCTCTAATTAAAATAAATAATAAATTACCATATTAATTATTAATTATTTTTAAGAAAAATTGTGTGATTTTATGAAAATATTTTATATTAAATTAAGTTTACTAATGTTCTAAAAATGTACTGTTAAATTATTGTTTAAAAAATCATGATTAGTAAATATAAAATACCTCTTAAATCCAAGTTGTTTACAAACAATATCTGCTTTATCGATTGTCCACGAGTTGAGTTCATCACAAACTACACCCCATTTAAAAGGCTTTTCTTGGATTTGTAAAAATCCTTCAGAACTTTTTGGACCACCACGTAACCGTATTGTCTGAGTACTATTTGGTTTCAAATCAATTCTCACTGCTATGTTGTTGCTTATAATTTTAGGAGGTGTATAGATTATAGAAGAGTTTTGTAAAAAGTTATCTGATAAATCAATAGATGTAGGGTTCCTTAAGATTTTCGACTGTTTATTTTCAATTGGCAAAGTTTCTAACACTGCTTGATTATGATTTTCTAAAGGTTCAGTTTCAGTAACTAGATCACTATTACTAGTTTCTTGATCAAACTCTCGTCTTGCATCAATAAGTGGAGTATAATCCTCTTGTATCTGTAGTGGTGTAGTATACATAATATCATCATATTCTACTGTAGCTGATGTAGTGCTTACATATTGATTGCATTGTACATTAAATGGGTGATCACAGACAGATATAGCTGGGTTAAATAATGTTCCAGGACCACAATCCATTTCAAATGTTCTACCATTTGCACAACTCAGAAATTTGGAACATTCTGTAGGATGTGGTTTAATACCATTAAAGCCATTTGGACATTTAGAATTGGTAGCTGATGGGTATATTGGAGATTCTTGTGAAGGAGATTGAATATTATCTATATAGCTAGGATTTTGAATTTTACCAGAATTTTCTTTTTGTTTCGGGTATTGTAAACTATTGTAATTAATTGGTATTTTTTTACCAGAAGAATCTCTGGTAAAAATCAATTCTGTGTTTAGTTTTGACTGTTCTATATTATCAATAGGCTTGGAAATATTTGAAACAACTATTTTAAATTGTTTATTTGTTCTTGAGTCTCCATTAGTTTGTCTATCTTGTGGTGTTGGATTCAAATATTTTTGTTGTCCAGGTTCATTAACTTTAGGGTGAGCTAAATAATCAGGTGAAGATTTTGAGTTATAATCTTGACCATTTGGTATAGAAGATTGTTGCCCATAATTTATGTTGGTTTGACTTGCATAACTTGATGAATCATAATTATTTGGAAAACTAATTGGTTTATTATGTTCTATTTGTTGTTTATTATTTAGATCAAAAGTCGTTGCTGGTTTATTGAATTGATTATTAGGTGTTTGAAATTCTTCATATTCTGATTCTTCATTTGTATTAGGATAAGAACTTAGACTAGAACCTTGTTTCACTTTAAGTTGTCCTCGAATCCAAGAATTTGGATTAACATTAGAAGGATTTGATGAAATTGGTTTTTGATTTCCATTATAACCATTTTGAGAATAAGGAGGTTGATAAGGGGATGGGAATCGTATCTTATTTTTTTGTTGATTAATTTGTTCTTGTTCAGATAAATAAGTATTTTGGGTTTCTTGAACATTACCATAATTATTGGGTATCTCATAGTTATTTTGTTCTGGTAAAAATTGATGGCCTTCAACAATTGACTGACCATTTGATAATGGTATAGTTTCTTGTTCTGGATTCATATATTCATTGGGATTGGTCCTTGATGGATTTTTATTAAAATTTTGTTGAATAGGTTCTTGATAATTGGGATTTCTATTAACTGGCTCAAATTTTGGTGGATTTTGAAAATAATATTGCCTATTAGGAGATTGCTGTTGAATTTGTCCTGGATAATTTGTGTTTCTAACAGCCGGTTCTGATCTTGGAGGAAGTTTTGTTACAAATTCTTGTTTTCCAAGTATATTTTGTTCATTTGGATATAACTGCTGCGACTGTATTTCAGTATTTTGCTGAGTATATCCATTGACTACAAAACTAGATCCATAAAGTGGCTTAGACTCTCCAGTTTGTAACCCATAATCTGTGGTCACAGCTGAACCAAAGTGTTGTGAAGTATCTGTGTTAACATTTTGACCTTCAACGATGAATTGTGTTCCAACTAATGGATTAGTCGATTGAGGCTGATATTGATTAGCCGATTGAGGCTGATATTGATTAGTCGATTGAGGCTGATATTGATTAGTCAACTGAGGCTGATATTGATTAGTCGATTGAGGCTGATATTGACTAGTTGAATGAGGTTGATATTGATTAGTTGAATGAGGTTGATATTGATTAGTTGATTGGGGTTGATATTTATTATTTAATGAAGGTTGATATTGATTAGTTGATTGAGGTTGGTACTCATTGGTGTTGCTAATAAATAATTGGTTTTGATTAGAAGTCTCGGCGTTTAAATCAAAATTCTGACTAGGATTTCTATTTATGAATGATGAATCAATCTTTGATGGATTTCCATCAAGACATTGCACTTTAGCAGGGAAATCACATTCTAAACTGTTGGGGTTGAATAAAGTTCCTGGTCCACATGACTGGACATAACCACGGCCTTTAAAGCAATTTAAAAATTTTTGACAATCTGATTGAATAGGGAATAAGCCAGTTGTTTTAGAAGGACAATTTTTTCCATCTGATGATATAACTGCATTATTCTACAATAGTAAATGTAATAATAAAATAAATAAATCTACTTTGTTGAATGAAATAGTAATTTATAAAATTCTTACCTCATTGTTTATGTCTTGGGGACTTTGTATCTGTTGTTTATAAATTGAAGAAGCAATAGGTTTGGTTTCAAATTTATTGTTTTCTCTGAGACCTCCATTTTTTACTCCAGTATTAGCATTTCCATTGAATGCATTCCAGTTCAAATGCTCCTCAGTAAGTGATGGTCTAGTCGCTGCATTTGTGTAGCGAATAGTCTAACAATCCAATTTATAAAAATTGATCAATATAAATTTACTTCTTTATTTATATAAAAAGTACTTACATACAATGCTTCATTATGAAAAAAAAGTAAAATTACAAAAATGGTGCAACTCTTCATGTTGATGCGCACATTTAAACTGAAAATATTATCATTTTACTTGGATTTTCTAACACTTATCTAGGTCCAAGAGATCAAAGGTCGAAAAAACATTTACAGAAAAACAAGGCTATTTTATAGGCTTATCTGTATACAACACAAGTAAAATGGACCTTGCCAATATATCCGGTTAGATAACCCTTTCTTGATCCACAAACAATAGAAAATATGTATTTACATTTTAAAAATAATACTTGTTACTTACTAATAAATAATAACTTTATTTCCAGAAAATAATTACAATAAAAACAATCAAGAAATTCTCAACTTAGATTTAGTTTTATTTAATATATATTTGTATGGATGTTCATTATTGTAAGGTGTTTTTGGTATTCCAAAACATTTACGTACTTGTGGAGACAATAAGAATAAATTTTGAGAAAGACCATAAATACTGGATGCAGTCCAATATAAGCTTACACCCTAAAAAAAAAAAAAAAATAATAATGTATGTTGATCATAAATTTAAATAAATAATTTTTTTAAACAAAATATTCATACTGATGGCAAAAAGCATGAAAGTGGCATCATGATAATAGTGAGACCTCGAAAGACATTTGTAATGATTTTTTGACTACGTGTTGGTTCTTTGTTTCGAGATTGTGTTTGGACCTAAAAATATATAAACAAGATTTGTGAAGTTAAACAAATACATTTTTTTTCTTATAAAAATATAAGCAAACAGTACTAAATAATTAATTAAAATTAAATCACCTCAATAATTAAAAGATTTGATAGACACATAATTATAGGTAAACACATAGTTGGGTCTATGGCAGTTAAGTTTGTAAACCACAAAATTCCACCTTCAGTTAGTTCATAAAACCTAACAACAGCTTTAAAAAATTAATAACTCATATTAAAAACATGAAATATGACATAGTATTAGGTAAATTAATAAATATTACCATCATCACTTGGTGGTAACATCAATGTAAGATTACGGGTTGCTATCGACATACAAATCCATAATGGTAATTGTACCCAAACTACAATTGTAGACTTTGCAGGATGACAGTTTTCTTTAACTATCAATTCATTCCAATATTTTTTCACCTACATTAAATAATAACCAAAATATAGATAAATATATATTAGACATCAAAATATTGTTTATTAATTAAATGAGATATTGTATTCTAATAGTAACGATGCAAACAGTTCTAAAAAACAATAATAAGATAGTTATGTATATACTTACAGCTTTGTTATAAACACGTTTAGCTTTATTTTCCGGCCATTTATTCAATTTTAATGACTTAAGTACTTCTTTTTGTATTTCTTTTACTGTTGATTGAAATTCAATAGAAAGATTTTCCAATTTTGAATTATTATAATGCTGAAATAAAAAATAAAAATTTTTTTAGTATCAACTTAATTATAAAATATATTTCAATTTAAATATTTTTATACATTTACACAAAGCAGATATTAGTGATACAAATAGTAAAATATTATTGAAAAATTGAGTCATAGAAATAATAGATTATCACATAATTTCAACTATCAATTTTTTTATAAATACAAACTTAGTATAAAAATGTATTTTATAATATTCAACTTTGTTTATAAATGTTTTTATTTTTATTTTTTAGGAATAAGACATCACAAATAGAATTTTACCTACTTGATATACTGTCAGTGGTAGAGTAATCACTAATCTCAGAGTTACGGCGCTGAGCATTATAGTAGCCCACCAAGGTGTACCAGTAAATTCATGAAATGAAATTATAAATTGTTGGGCATAAGCTACAGGTGTACTGTTTGACAATGCCATAAACCATGAAGGAAACGTAATTGAGGAAACAGACGTAACACTTCTATTCAATGAACTCAGAGAATGATTGTTTTTTTTAGTATAAAGTGATGAACATGGATTTGGTCTTTTCATATAATAGCTCAAATGACGACAGTCGATGAATTTTTTTAGATTTGTTTGGCGAGTGCATAAGGTCTGTAAAATCATTTTATGGCTTGCGGTTTTTAAATTACATGAATATGCAATTATTAAAAATAAATTAAATGTTTTAAAACTCTAATAACATAATACAATACAGTCTATAAAATGGTAATATGATATATGATATTATGATCGAATAGACTTTTATTTAGCGATTTATTTACTTTGAGATATAAAAATAATAATTTAAAACAATCATAAACAATAATCTAAATTCAAACCCTATGTAGTTTTATTTTTATGTATGAATTTCTAAACAGCATACAGCACTGATATTACCGAACAATTCTATAATTATGAAGTGATAAATGATAATATTGTTGTTATTATCTTTAGAATACACACAGAAAAAAATTATTCTGTGGTATATAATCCAAGTTATTATCACAGGATATTTGATATTCAGATAAATTATCATTATAACCTCAAACATCTATGTTCTCGTTTCCCTTACCTAAATAGTATTTTCGTAGTTAAGATAATCCTTTAATCTTTCACCCCATTTATGGAATAAGTAGTATTAATTTACTTTAAACAATTTACAGCTTACTGCTTATAGAACTTGAAAAAAAGAAAGAAATCAACAATGCAGGTAAATAAAATATATCTTTTTTATTTTCAATAAATCAATGATATTATTAATTAAACAATTTATATTACCTATTTATAATTTCAGAACCCAAATGAAGACACTGAATGGAACGATATATTGCGTTCTAAAGGAATACTTCCACCTAAAAAAGAAAAAGAAATTACAGAAGAAGATGTCATCAATCTTGTAGAACAGACAGTCCGTGAAAAACAAAATGGTAAGATTCTTTAATTTTTATTTCCTATGTAGATTTTTTAGATTATTTATTATTAGATTTTAAATCATTATTTGTTTATGATAATTTATTTTATTTAAATTATATTATTTTTATAATAACTAAATTAATAGTTTTCAGTAAACATCAGTTATTCGGAATATCATGTACAAGGATTTTAACTATTTATTTTATTTAATATATAATATGTATTTTATTTTCACGTATTTCAGCTTTAAATTTAATCTTGTAACTTTAAAATTTTAAACGTCAACAATAGCTTTTAAATTAAACAATATTTAGTATCATTTATGGGTCAATGCGACTCCAGTCCTTTTATGTAGTAGAAGTCCATTGCCTATTAATATTAAAATACATTTAAATTTTGTTTATCAATAATTATGAAATAAATATTTTTTTGTCAAGGAGAAAAAAAGGATATGGTTGATATGTCATTGGATGAATTGGATGAACTAGAAGATGATGAAGATGAACGAATACTAGAAGATTATCGTAGACGTAGAATAGCTGAATTAAAAGAACAAGCACGAAAAGATGTTTTTGGTGAAGTGATAGAAATAAGTGGTCAAGATTTTGTGAATCAAATTAATAAAGCAGGACCTGGAATTTGGGTAGTTTTATTGTTACACAAACAAGGGTAATGCTTTTAATTATTTAAAATATTTTTTTATAGTTATGGTAACTATTTTTCCTTTTGACAGAATTCCAATTTGTGCATTATTGACTGAATATTTAAATCATTTAGCAAGAAAATTTCCTGCTACAAAATTTGTCAAAAGTATTTCAACAACTTGCATCCCAAATTATCCAGATAGTAATTTGCCTACTATTTTCATATATTATGAAGGTGACCTAAAACAGCAATTTGCTGGACCAAGATTATTTTCATTAACAACAACTCAAGATGGTAAGTGTTAAATTTTTATTAATACTGGGTTTTTTGAGTTTAAATTAGTGGTTTAAAAACCATGTTATGATAAAAGTAGATACGTAATTAATTAATTGTAATAATAATTAATAATGCACTATCTAAATACTTTATAATAGATACATGTACATTTTATCTAAGAGATTAAATGCATAGGCTTTTATATTTGAGAATTAAAGGTCATGCATAATAGAACTTATAAGTCTTTTTATATGGGCTAAATCAAAACAATTTGGGAGACTTATCTGGTATGATATACTTATGTAAGCAAGCTGAATACTACTTATACTTTGACTAATATTCAGCTATATTGAAAAAATCAATCTATCTTAAATTTATATGACTCATTTAATGATGTCATCAAATTGACCATTAAATAGTTAGAAATATATGTTGTCATTAAAACATAAACTATTAAATAGGTACTTAACATTTATGCATATTTATATGTGTTTAATATGCATATTATGTTAAGAGGACCAAGGGCGTATTTTAAAAATTTTTCAAGGAGAGGGGTTCAATATTTTTACTAACATACATTTTAAGTTGATGTCAATGTATATATACATAAATATTAAGCAATACTTTTTTATTAAATTCATTAAAAAAAATTTTTTTTTTTGAGGGGGTTGAACATCTCTCCCATCTATGCATGCCTCTGAAGAGGACGCTACAGTTGCATTTGTTTTCTTCACCTTAAAAATAGACAACTTCGAAAAATTGTTTTCAGTAGAACTTATTGTATGTCATTTAATATTAGAGTAAATTTGACCTATTTTCAAATTTGAAGATTAAAAACATTATCTATGTCTTAAGTGTTGGCTTTTCTCAATATTCTAATTTTTAAGCAAGATATGAGTATTTTTAACTTACAATATTTATAATAGTCATATTTTATATTATGCTGTATACCTAGGTAATATTATATTTTTTTAACATGATTTTTGTTAATTTTAGAGTTTGAGTGGATGTTGGGTCAAACTGGTGCTGTAAAAACAAAATTGAAAGAAAATCCTAGACCAAAGACTAGAGATGTATTATTTGACAATTTACTCACTAATATGTGAAGAAAAATTGCTCATTATGTTCTTAAGTTATATTTATATTTTTCTTCCTTACTGTTTTACGTTTGTCAATTTTTTTATAACTAATCATCATGTGTTTGTTTTTTTTTTTTTTTTATGTTTTTTTTCAACAAAATATAAAATATAGACATATTAAAGTAAAATATAACAATATTTTTTTTTATTTTGAACACACACATACAATAATATATTTAATTGCTTAGTAGTCTTAAACATTATAACAAATCTCATTTAGTCATATTTTTTTTTTTTTTTGCTTCTAAGAAATAAATTATTTTTATTGAATAATAGTATCTACATTATTTGTTTTCTATTGCTACTGAAAGAATCAAAATTATTATTTGTACTACTTATTTATACTGGTTTTATTTTTTTCAAAAAATATTTTCAGATTTTATTTAATGTTATACACAAATTAACTGATATTAAATTAAAAATATGTATGACAAAAAGACTTACAATTTTTATCATATAATAATAATTCCATAAGCCATGATAATATTGTTCTTGCACAGAGTATTGAAATGTACTTAATTTTGTAACACATATTTAAAATATAGTCAAACTACTTTATGGATATGTTATATTTTATGATGTTGCAATGAATTAATTTCAATAAAAATTTTTTTTCTAGTACCTTATTTTTAATTAGTAATTTATGAGGTAACTACCTAAAGAAATATTCTCTTTAAAAAGTATATTGTTGTACAATATCATCAATTCAACTACTTTAATATTTATTAATTTAGTTTTTTTTTTTTATATATATACATAGGTAAAGTAATGTAAAGTTTAGTAAAATATAATATTGACAACTGAAATGATATATTATTCCATCAAAATTTGAATGTAAAAACATTCATTTACTATATTTTATTTACTATGAAGAAATACATTTTTTTTCAATTCTAAAGAAGAGCTAGTTCTTCTCTTAGTTTTGCAACTGGTTTTTGAATCTATGTTTTATTTCTTATTATTAATGATAATAATACGTCCTACAATAACTCAAAAATACTGGAATAATAATGTAACAATTACAACATAATTGAGGATAATAAAATTTGGTGTAAAAGCAATAAAAGGCACCTACAAATATTTAACACTTATCAAACACATCACATTTTATGTACATTAATGTAAGAACTAAGAACCAAACTTATTATTTTATTCAATAAACGTAATAATAATAATAATAATAATTAAATCTTGTTATGCGAGTTGTGGCTGATATGTTATGTATTTATAGGCGATTATGAATGGTTAGGTTCGGCTGGCAAGTAACGTTGAAATGCTAATTGGTTTCATACATTGATTGCAATTTTATGGACGTAGTTCCTATCAACCTACTAATTCTGTGCACTCGATAATGTTTTAGAAAAATATTTATGCAGAGGTCAGTGGTTACGAAGATATATTTTGATATTTAACGACTGCACTAATTATAGCAATAACGCTTCTACTTCTATTTGTAATTTAATTGGATAATACCGAAGTAATAGGGGTTTTTTTATATCGCAATTTGGCTTTTATCCTTAAACATCAATAATCATCTACTAAATGAAAGAATTTAATTTGCACATAGCGCAGCATAAAAAAAGAATACCTAACATTTATTAAATAGGACAGCGCATAAACAATTGCCAGTTAATCATTAAGTAAGTACTATTTAGTAGGTATACTCTATTATGTATCAACAGCGGAAAAAAAATTAATTAATAAAATTCCTTAGTTATATTGTTGTTATGTGTACTTCACGTCATTATCAATAAATCGATACGCAGATCATTTTACTACGGCGTGTTAAGTAGGCAATTTTCAGACTATTATTGTAGCTTAATGCTCACAAATCATAATTCATAATATATTAAAACATTATATAAAAAAGCCAAGCGCTATCAATAACAAATAAACAAAATAATGTGTTAGATGTATAAGTCAACTAAAACTAATCCAACTTATGATTTACCTCAGAACAGCTAAGGTTGAATTTAAAAATCACGTCATTTTTCATGTGTTAATCTATGAATATTAATTATTATAAATTATAATAATCAACAAATTAACTAGTTATTAGAAAAAAATTTAATTTTTTTTAAACTTTTTTATTTAACTAGTTTGTATATCTAATTAGTTTTGCAGTATCTATATAATATTCACAAAAATAATAACTCAGGTGACAAAATTTAAGACGCTAAAATTATATGACTATGTAGCCTTTTTTATGAAACACAATCTTTTTACTATTTTAATTTTATTATACATTAAAATTCAAGAATACTTTAAAGTACTAAAATTACAATTAATGACACAAAAATATTGCAAATATGTTATTGGTTCATATGAGGTGTATAATGTATATTATTAAACATGTAGTGATATGTATATTAATTCTATTCTATGTATCTAAGTTTTGAGTTTTGTGTAATCATTGTTTACTATTAGAAATGTTCATTTGGTATAAACGATTAGTAACTACGATATCACCAAAATGAGGTTTACCTTATAGTAGTGAACTATTGGACTAAGTTATAAGTAAATATTTTTTATTATTTCATATTTTCATAGGTACGTATTTATAATATTTTATTAATATTGTATAATATATTTGATTTTTAATGGTTTCAAACATTAATTTCTGTATACTTATGCAGTTTTAAGTAAAAATAATCTAATAGACTATAATTTGTGTTATGTTCTTGGTTATATATATATATATTTACGCTTTATATGATCCTCTTATTAATCAAAAAAGTAGATTACTTAACCATTTTTTAAATAAATTAAGTTAGGTAATATTTTTTTTTTTACTTTAGATCTAATGAATTAAACGTATTATTTTTTAACTATTAACTTCCGATATTGTGTTTACTTAATTTAACTTAAGCTAAGTATTTTTGATTGTACGCCTTTGATAATAATATTATGCTTGGGTAGATACTAAAGTCGCGTTCAGCCCTACATTTGTTTAGCCAGTAACTGACAGCTAGAGTTTCAATACTATCTTCCAGTCCACTATAATTATTGAGTGATTATGTACTTGTGCGAACCAAGTGTAATTCAATTTTTGTATCGATATTTTATTCTTCGGTAAAATAATTTATTTTAAAATATGTTAACGCTAAAAATATTATTATCTATTTTGGTTCTATAAGGTTATATGGTACAATTAATGTAGATATTAGATTAGATAAAAATTATATAAATTTATAATATATTAATATATATCGGCATATCAAAATAATATACTATTATATTACAGTTTTTTTTTTTTTTTTTTAAATATTTTTATTGCTACTTATATATAAAATTACTAAAAAAATAATAAGAATTTTTCGTTTAGACGATTTATCCACAAACCGTAGATAATTCGATTAGATTTTTTTTAACAAACGGTGTACTATATCTATTGCTATGACTAAATGAATAATAAAATTAGTTATACTTATATACATCATTATTTTTCAAAAATTATCTAGAACCATTGATTATAGAATAGTCTATTCTATAATCAATGCTAGAACTAACGGAAGGCATTTTATTTTTTATGTAATAAGTTTTGAATGAATTAGTAGGCGTAAAGTTAACGGATTTTTCAATGAATGTGTAGACATAAAATGTGTATATTGCCTAGACATTATCGTGTTAACCGATTTCGATGGACATTTTGACAAAATTATACATTGTTTGAACTTTACTATAGATTCTATAGAATTTCCCTGTATTGATCGAGGTAAAATACCTTAGTGATTAAAATGGTTTTATGTTATAATTACATATAAATAATAAAACCTAGGTTTATAGTTAAATCCTAAAACTAATAATACACTAGTTTGATTCTAATACATATTTTGATCATAGTTATAAACACAGAAGATAAAACGATTATTTTTATTATACAAAAATAATGTCTGCAGGGTAGTGTGGTCCATAGTATATATAAAAGGACAAAAAAAAAAAAAATTAAAGTTACTCCTTTCAGATCGATTTCATTATTAAAAAAACAAGCGAAAAAAAATTTCAAACGAACTTATTAACCCATGCCACAAAAGCTGTTTAGTTTTAACATTAGAAACATATGAGTATTGGAAATCATTAATTTTCTTAATGTAATAAATTATAACTCCCGAAAAAAAAAAATTGTGGAGATATTAATTAAAGAATTTAATTATGATAATAATTGTAACTTATAAATTCTTTTTAATAAATTGAATTTTTTTTAAATATTTGAGTTTAAATATTAAAAATAGTAAATGTACAATAGTTTTTGGTCGCACCAATAGATAAATAATAATTATATTTTACACCATATGATGTAATATTCTGTGGTACAAGAAATTATTATAGAACCATTATGAAGATACTTTTTAATTTTTACTACAATGTCGTATATTATACCTTTAACTCATTATACATGTTATTAAATTTAACAACATCTATAACATCATAGTTGGTCAATTCAGATTGCCATTTATTATTTTATTATTTAATACCCTTATGTATGTTTTGTAATATCGAGAAACCGCACTATCAGCTAATAACTTTTAAACAACAAACCTATGTTTTTAATTGTGTAATCCGTAATTGAATTTTTTATAAATAATAGTTATTTTTATTAAATTTACGTAAGTGTATAATAGATTTGGTATAAAAAAACGTAAATATATAGATTTATAAATTTTAAACAAATATTAATTACGTTTTGTGATTAACTAAGTAAACTATACAGTATACACACTATTTATTTTTAATTTTTATTTAATCGTTTTCTGAAAGATTCAGTCAAATTTCTATGAAATTTCATCAAACATTGATCAGCTACAACATTTAAATCTAAACAAACGTCATTATAGATTTCATTAAAGATTTATAAATTATAATATACAATTAATCGATATGGATTCAGTTGTTTTCTAGAGTAGTAGCCATAGGCACAATATAGGTATTATTATGTTCCATAATTATGCACAAAATATATTACAACTGAAAAAAATCAATATTAAATACTATGAATATTTGGAAGTGAAAACTACTCCCTATAGTTTTAAGTAATATTCACAGTAATTAATTACATTTTATTAAAACAAATATATTTATTTTAAATATAATGTGGTATAGGTAGAATTTAAAAACGTTAAGTGATTATACTAAAAAATATTTTACTAAATATTTATAAGGTTGATGGTTTTCCTTCTGCTAATTGTGCCAGCATTCAGTGCTTCTATAGCTGTATAAATAGAGTGTGATCGAAATGGTTGACAAATATAATTAACTGACTATATATAATAACTTTTGTATTTATAAATATATCATTAAAAAAAAAAAAAATCATATTATAATATCTAAATTTTAAAAAAATTATAAGAATAAGAATTATTACGTAATTAGTTGCTCTGCATAATCTCACCCAGTTACATTTTTTGAAGTTGGTTATTATTATCCCATTGAGCGGTTCTAAAATGTTTTTTCTTCATCATCAATCAAGCAATACGAAAGTCGTTATTATCAACCTCGTCAACGTTTTATCTACCAAATCAAATTGATTTTTCTGTATGGATATGAAAGATGACTGTTGAAAAGTTAATAAGAAAATAAATATATATTATAACGAAACTACGAAACTGTATTAATAACATGATTATATGGCCAAACTTTTATTTTCGATAAAGGTAACCCGTGTAAGTATAATAATAATATAATAAACACTTATTAATTATTATTATTAAATATGAATACTATTATGTATTGTGTCTACTTCGTGATTTAAAATATTAACAAAATTATTAATATAATTGGTGTCATTGGTAATTATTGATAATTCATAATGATTCCTAAAAGGATTTTTATTTTATATGATTAAATCGCGTTTAAAATATTTTCTGATCAATTTACAAATATAAGCATAATTTAATATCATTTATTTATAAATAGGTACAGTAGAGCCTCCATAGTCCGGACTCCCGATAATCTGGTGAATGCGGTAATCCGGATGGCATAAATCCATTTGTTCGTAAATATATTTGTAGTTTTTTGAAAATTAAAAGTATTATTCAGAAAAAAAATACTGACTATACTTACTTAAGTTCTAATATTATAAATACTTTTTTTTTTGTAATTTATAATATTAAAATTATTTATTAATTTTGTAATTTAAGTGCAATAAATATAAAGGTGGTGGAATTAAAAATAAAAATCTTAGTTATTTGAGAAGGTAATTTGAATTCGTCTGAATTCATCCGGATTATCAAGTCTCTACTGTATATGGAATTTTATTTGTGTTTGAAAGAAAACCGATAAATATATATTTAATAGAAACACTTGGATTATTAATACATATTAGTCATACGATTCATAGATATTTTTTCTATAAATAGAATTAAATTATAATCATTTTCCACTTCTTTTAGATTATAGTGTTAAAAGAATGATAAAAGCCTATTCGAGGCAATAATAATAAATTAATGGCACGTAAGAGAGTCATACTTATTTCGTATATTATGTAAACGCCAAATAATTCACTATATGAAGAATATTAATTAGCTAAGTTTCATTAACATTTAAGAATAACATAATAGTTAATATAATATTTATTATCTATTTAATTATAGCACTATTTTGTACACAATAAAAGTTTTACAAACATGTAAATAAATAAAAAAAAAAAAAATTAAAAAAAAATATTCTCGACGATAAAAATTAAATAGTACTGACATGGAAAAAAAAAAAGAATTGAAGTTGTGTTTCTGTAATATTTGTGATATAAATACAATGAATTATGATCTGAATATATTTAATATATTATTATTAATTATTATAGTTGATTTTCAGTTCATTTACAGAGGTATTTAATAGATATTGAACAAATTTTAGATTTTAGAAATTTGAACTGTAACTGAAATTCATGAACAATAAAAATGTTATGTATATTTATAATAATATCGTTTTATGATTTTTTTTTGAATTTATTTACTATCATCTTTTGATTCTTTTTCAGCATTAAATCAGCAATAAAAAGGTTCATTCAGATATAATAATTTTTCCAATAGAGATTACACATTAAATTGTAAACTGTAAACACGCCTTTATAATTTGTAGCTATCAATAAAAACTTTTTATGTACTTAGTAAAAAGTTGCACGAATACATGTTAAAAAAATAAAATTTTAGCAAAGTATAAACATTAAATATAACTTTTTAAGGTAATTCACCAAGCGTGTTCATCGCCTTTTTCTTTAAAGTTAGACTTTGGAATATTTACGATACAAATTTCTATTTTTTAAGTGAGAACCCTCTCTCTTTTTTACTTTAAATTATTTAGTGAATATAATTGTTTTAAAAATTTCGATAAACCTGTTTTACACTTCATACGTGAGTAATTTTTTAGTTATTAAAATAACTAAGTATAAAGGTTCTTAATATATAATATTGAATCTAGTGTTTAGGTGTTATAGTATTTGGGTAATTTGAACTAAGTTTAAATTATAACAGATTAAAATTAAATACTAAGGTCAATCCATCACTAGATATTATATGTTTCTAACACTTTATTATGGCATTAATATTCTTAGTATATAATACTAAAAAAAAATACTACCTAACCTAACCTAATTACTCGTTCGTATTTTTATTTTGATACGTTAACATTTTTAGAATAATTATTTGTAAAATAATTTACAGAAAAAAATGGAGAAGAGGTTCACAAAAAAAAAGAAGTTTGTATTTCCTTAGGACACTACTAAAATAGAAAAAAAATTGAAATATAGTATTAAAGCATATTTAAAAAATCAGATTTTGAATAACTGCAATGATAAAAAAAATGGGTGAATATGTATGATGAATCACTATATAAAATAAATATAGCATAGGGTACTACCCATATTTAAAAAGTTAACTGTTTTAAAATTAGGTACATAAATACATAAATAATTTTTTTGAAATTATATAACAAAAATGTTGGTTTCTAAACTAAACATTTTTATTAATTATTTATATACAACAAAAAAAAAAAAAAAATAAATAAAAATAAAAGTTTTAAAGTAAAATGGGGAATTATTATATGGTAATAATTATTATTAGTTTTTAGAAACTAAAACAATTTGGACTCAGTTTTAATTATAGTAACTAAGTTATGTAGGGAAGTTCTCTGAGCACTGTTACATAATATTTTAATTGATACATTTTTGAAACAATAGAAAAACATCTGGTGCACGATGTACTTTAATATGACGATATTATATTATTATGCAATAAGAAGAAAGTTAAAATAGCCTTACGATAAAAATAAAATATACAAATTAAATCACTAAAAACTTGTATTTTGTTTAATAAATTATGAATTGCTGTATAAAATTATTAGGGTTTATCCTATAATACTATAATAGTATAGTTAACAATAATCCTTTTTATGATGGTTTGGTTTGGTTAGTATTTAATTGTTAATAAAACTAATATAATCTACAAAATATATTTGAAAAAAAAAAAAACAATAATAGTTCATACACCACTAAGATTTAAATTACAGATATTTCTGTAAAATGTTACGTATTTATTTATATTTTTTATTTAAAATGGATGTATATTGAATATTGATGAATTAATAATTATGTGTTATTCTTTTGCATTAAGTAATTGCATATTGTTTTATTTTGTGGAAAAATTATTAAATATACACGTTAAAATAGTAACTTTTCAACCTAGAAGGAGTAAATTAATCATTTTATTAGAATATTTTCTAATAAAATATGTACATTTAAATTCCAGGTCGCATCACTTGTAACATACTAAACACTACTTTCTTCAAATACTTATCAGGAATAATAAACTATGTATTATGCAGTCCTCCAAAGATGCGAAATCATATATTTTCCGAATCGTACTCAACTATATACAGTGAAAGGCGTCTTTTATTTTTAGTCATAAATAATATATTTATATTGCTGCTAAATATGGTTTCGAAGATTTTAGTAGAGGTTAAGAGAGTGTATTGTATAATAATATAATAACATTATTCGCTATATAACTGGATAACTCAAAGAAAAAAAAAACATATACTTTCTCCATTGACTACTAATTGAATATCAATATAATATTATATTATATTATTATACACCCATATTGAACAATGTATCTATTTTTATTGTTAAAAATATAATTAAATATATTATATATAAGATATTTTAACGATATAAGAATATATTTTAAAATGAAGTTATTAGATACAGCTCATAGCAGTCGTATAATAAGTATAATTTTTCATATATTGTGTCTCACACACAAATTTCAATTCGCATGCGATAATTTGTTAGACTTTTATTTTTCCAGGCAATTTTTAATAGATGATTAAGTATACCGACAGTGCATATTTAAAATTAATGATATGGAATGTTGAAGTCAGTAGATATTATAAGATAGTTTGGAATAAGTGTAATACCTATGTACTCGTATATCAGTATATGGAACAATCTGCTTTGAATGATGCGATTTCCGAGTGTGATATTTTTACTTAGATTATGCACTTTACCGGTGTGACGCCATACATTTTCCGAGTTGTCCTTGACTATAGTGAAAGGCATCTTGTATTTTTACAGACATATGTAAATTTGGTAGGGGAAATTTTTGTGAAAAAAGGGGTCATCGAGTCTGTTTCTAGTAGTGTACTCACATGTTCCTTATGCGTAATAGTAAATACACGTGCACAGTGCAATAGGAAATCGCTTTGATGGATAGGTAAGTTCAAACACTAAATTCGTATTAATAATAATAAAAATAATGAAACATGAAATATACAATTCATACGAGTAATTAAAATTTAATGTTCATAAAAATAAAACCAGATAAGTTATTAGACAAATGTTTTTGCATTTAACTAATAACGATTATTTTTGAAATTGAAAATTTATTTTTTTTAATCAATCCAAAAAAAAGTATCGGTATAGATACATAATCTATAGTAAATTAATTTTTTGATTTTAATGCATAATTATATGACTTAATCATAAGCAGATATTTTTTTATTATTAATTCGGTTGTTTAAATTAAATAATAATAACAATAATAATAATATGTACGTGATATTTTGTTTGTATTATGTACATTGAAGTAAAAATATAGTTATAAATGTTTATAAAAAGTTATTGTAAAATCTAGAATTATGTGTATAATAAAATTTAAACTGCATCGCTATTCCCCGTCTGTATTCGTTAGGTACATTTTAGTTTATATTTATACATTATACGTAAATAAATGTATCGGAATGAAACATGAAATCTTAACGATATCTGGATACAATTCAGATAAAATATACTATGATAATCGTGTTTATATAAATGTCAATTTATTTTTTGCTTAATGCATTTTATCCTAGTACAGACATAAATAATTTACAGTGAACAATGTAAAAATCAAATTATATTTTTATACACTTTTTTAAGTTGTATATATACGTACATTTTTTGTATATTTAAAAAAAAAAAAAAATGAACTTAAAATATAAATTGTATTTTATTATTATAGTTTATAAGTATATTATAAAATTTTAACTATGATGATGTAATAATCTTACAGTTTGAAATATATTTATTGAATACTAGGTTTAAAATACAAAACATTGAAAATAATACAAAAACTATTTTCAATCTGTATTATAGAAATATTTTTTAATAAGACTAGATATGTGTATCGAAATAATAAATAAAATACATTAATTAAATTTGTAAGTATTAAGTAACTAAATATTATAAATGCTGAAAAAATTGAAATATTTGGGCTTAACTTTGTAAGTAGATAATGGCATAATTATTTACCAATCGACATAAAATGATGGGTGTGAAAATACATTTTAGGAAAGCTAAAAAAGGTATGTTATTAAAAGAATACCAGACAATATGATATAGAATAAAGTATTTCACCATAAAACTCTGTGATAATAAAAAACATAATTTCTATTGGGTGCCTACTTTCTCTGCTGATGGTCAATTACATTTAGCATGGCATTGTATATTTTTATTTTTATACTAATATATTTAAAATCCATTTTATCTATTGATTAAATTATTTTAGCATTTAAGAGACAAGATTTATATGTAACATTGTTCAAAAGTTATTATTTTTTTTATGGTTCACCAATTACGTAAAAAAATGTGAAGGTTTATTATTTATAATTTGTAACATAAGTTCAAAAAATTATCGGAAAAATAGTAAGTCGTGATTTTGCTAGCAATAATTAAGAAATCTGTTGCCAATCATATCTTCATTTTTACTGTTATGTAATAAAGTATTTAATGTAATCATTTTTTTGAAAATTATTATTAATAATGATATAATGGCTACAGTACATAATCACGTTCGTTGAAGTAGAATTGTATTTTCGCTTGAACTAGTAACATTTCAACACTCGATTTGTTTACTGTAAAACGCTTAAATTATTTATTATTAAATTACTCATAATTAAATGCTTAATGCTCACAACATTATATGCTATAGAAATTGTGACCATGATATTTAAAGTCCCGCATGATGGTAAGCATAATATTAATATTGTTCAGATGTTAGTGAAAGTGTGGGTGAGCCAAAAACACAATATAATGGTTCTTTTTAATTTTTTCTCGCTACGTAAATCGGTTGTATAAAATCTAGATAACAAATTTAATCTAATCATTTACGTAATTTTTGTTTTGTAGTTTTCTCTAAAACTATTTATTCAAACTAGGTACACTGTTAACGATTTATATCTAAAAATCTAACATAACATATTGGATGACAATGTACATAATTGATAACGAAAGACATGTAAGTTATAGGTACTATAGTTAAATTTAATTTATGTCATGAATAACATGAATATATAACACTATATTATATTAAAATATAACTCATAGACACGACGCGTATCTACGGATTAAAATCTTTAAAACTGGCGTTTATTTTTACAAAAACATATTGCCCATAGGAAAATATCTTTAAATTAAATTATTGGATAATTTTAAAATTACGAGGTCTCAGAGGATTTATTTTACAATTATTTTTGTAAAGACTTGAATTGGTGAAAACTTTCAAAGAATATATCTTTTTACACATAGTTAAATCATGTTGTAAATTAAAAGTTAATTGTACTAAAAATTAGAAAGAAACTAGAAATAAAAAAGGTACTTGAAAAATATACATTTTAATAAACCATAAAATTAGATAATTTATGATTAAGGTCATTACTTTTATTTCAAAATAAGATACTTATTTTAGAAAATGAATAAAATAAATCATATTCGTTTAAAAAATATTTCCCTCTCATTCACTGTAATAGCGTTACTAAAGAAGAATAAAATGGCTGATTCAAATAAAAGAAATTTGATTAAGTTAATTTGAAGTGCAACTATACTGTTCTGGACCATAAATACAATATATTATAGTTTATCTATATACATAAATTATTAAAATTGACTTTTTTTTAATTGTAGCTTCTTACTTTTAATTATTTACCGTTGAGGTCGCTGATCATTCTTCGAATTATAAAATGTAATATTTAGGTAATGCTTGATTATGACATTTTTGTATTTCAAAATTATTGGTTAATCTTATTTGGGAAGTATAAATAATTCATTATTTTTAGTTAAAAAAATAAATATATTATATATAAAAATAAAGTTTTGTATAAACGTTATACAAATAACAATACCTATAATTTATTTATTTTTTTAATTAATAAAAGTTTTATATTTTTATTTATTAATAGGTTCTACATTAAATAACATGTAAATAAATTTATGTACATATTAAAAAGTTATTATTATATATTTTATAACAAAGATAGTAAAAAAAATTTAACTTCAGAAATTTTATAAATTTCCATAATGAATTGTTTTAGAGTTTTTATAATTGTCAGTTTATTACTGACGATATGCACTTTTGGAAAAACTCAATCTATAGATGGCGAATGTGCATTTCAACTAACTGGTTCAGGAAGAACTAGTTTTTTTGATTTTAATACTAATACATTAAGAGGTGGTCCACTGTAAGTACAAACATTTATGACAGTTAACTATTTATTAATTAATAATTAATTAAGTTAAATCTAAACCTAAACCGGAATTCTACTTATTTAGCTCTATTAGAAATTTAAGAAACTTGATTCAATATATTTTAGCGTATAAATGTAAAATATATAATTTATACGTATGCATATTAAAACTAATTTTACAATCAACAAATAAATAGAATTTTTTTTAAATAATAATGATTTTTAATAATAACAATTTAAATATTTTTAAGGTCCAATTTTTAAAAAAAAAATGGAAAGAAGGTACATATATAAGTACGGTGGTACTTATATATTAATGTTAAGTGTATATTACCAACATTTTATACTATTTAAGATATCATCGTTACAGAAACATCATAAATCCCGTTTATAAGTACCTAATTGATTTCATTTATAATTAATTGAAATAAAAATTAACAATGAATAAATAATTATAAAACAAAAATAATTTAAATTAATTAAGGATAAGCTCAATAATAGATATAATATTTATATGAAATATAATTACATCGATGAGCTATTAAATTTTTTTTTTAAATATAATATGAATATAATAACTTAGTAGAAATTTGAACATTATGAATTACAATATATGAGGGTAATACAAATGAATGATTTGTAATATATTTATTTTTTTAATATTCAAGTGGTTTTGGTCTACCAGGTCAATGTATCACATATGAAGCAGTCAACCAAGCATATATAGATGCCAGAAAAAGAATAAGTAAGTAAAAACAAAACTAAAGTATAAATCCATGTTCACATATCTACTAGAAGATTAATATTGGTTTATACTAGTGCGATAACATTTATTAATAAAAATAATTTTCTTAAAGTTCTTAAAAATATATGCATTTTACTTTATACGAACTTTATCATTTTTAAGTTATTTTAATTAACTTAAAGTGTAAAATGCATGTATTAATGTAAATAAAGTTACAATAAAAAAGCTAAATACTTCACCTGTACAGAATAAAGATAAATGATAATCAGTATCGGTGAAAGGATTTACAGTTTTCATAACCGGTTTTACTGGATCATTGTTGTTGGAGGATTCGAATACTTTTTGTATCCATTTAAATGTTGCAAAATAGTAAATACTAGCTATTGCATATTGAAAGCAGATAAAATAATAGACAAATGTAATTTACATCCCGTGACCTCTAATATACAATCACAAATTACATTTACAATAATACCACTGAATTATTGCAAGGATGGTTTATATAAATATTCAATTTTTCAGATGTGGCACAAACAAATAAAGACAAGTGGACGCCTCAAGAGTTGGCATCTGTTGGCGAACTATTGTTGGATATATCCATACAATTGACTAAAAAGTAAAGTGCAATCGCAATACGCACTCGCAAATACATTCGTTGCAATGGACCGATGTAATCCTTAACATCATTATGTTTACAATATTACAGCTATGGACTTTCATACGAAGAAGTTGAAAAAGGATTGCCTCAAATAGATACATCGAGAACTTTGATCAGAGAGGTGTGTCCGGCGTTCTTATCCAACGTCGAGTGCAGACCGGGCAAGTACAGGAGATATGATGGTCTATGTAATAACGTTAAGCATCCGACGTGGGGAGCTAGCAATACGCCTTTTTCGAGACTAGTCGGACCGTTGTTTTCCGACGGCATGAGTGGACCAAAAGTCAGCAGCCTCAGAAATCGAGATCTACCACCAGCTAGAGTAGTGTCTAGTACAATGCACCCCGACGAAGGATATCACGAACACGCGGCTACCGTTATGTTGGTCGCTTTTGGTCAGTTTATGGATCACGATTTCACACTCATGGGAACGCCTGCTGGTAAAGATTAACTTAAAAATATTTTACACAGATTATATTATAATTACATTAAATATATATCGATGATGTATATTTTTTATTATTTGTTGTATTGGTAAATAAACTCAAATGCTTAATTATTTAAAATTAGTTAATCTTAACATATTAACAATTATCTGCTGAAAGTATTTAGATCTAAGATTTACTTTTAATTCTTAGTGTATCATGATAAATTTGATAATATAGTTAAACTATAATGATTATACGTAAGTTATATAAATTATATTAATAATCAAACACATAAAAAAAAATTACAATAATCAATATTATATAGTTCGAATGATCAGTCAGTTAAAAAGATAAAAATAAGTATACCTGGTAATTTAAATATTGATTAATGAGAAGTTTTTGTACAATTATGAATTTATTTGAATTTCAACTATTAATATTTATCAATGTTTCTCTATTTGATAAATTAATTATTCGGTTCTTAGAAATGTTACAATTTATTTTTATTTTGCGTTCTTTTTTGATATTTTATTAATACAAATTTAATTTGATTATTTATTTATTTATTTATTTTGTAAACTGGAATTTTATAAATAATGTAAATAACTTTCTATCTTCATCAACAGAATTTCAAGAAAAAGTTTTATATTATAAATACATTTTTTTTTTTTTTTTTAGATCCAATTACAAAGAATGAACCAGAAGAATGCTGTAATCGACCTCCACATTTAAAACATCCGTACTGTAATGAAATTTCCGTTCCTGATAACGATTACTTCTATAGTAAATTCAATGTAAAATGTATCGATTTTGTACGAGCTTTTCCATCTGTACGACCAGGATGTCGCTTAGGTAAGGATATATTTTACATTTTTAAGATTTTGTAGAAATCTAAGTAATATTATGTTTATTAAAATAATAAATTAAATACTAATTAGTAATAGCTTAAAGTTTAAATAAAATAAATAATTACTTATAAATAAAATTATAACATGCTTAACTATAGGTACATAAACTCATTTATCAATGTATATAAATAGATTCATTTATTTTAAAAATAATTAAAAAAACTAAAATATTTTTACAAGTGAACTTCGGATAAGTACAACAGTATATTAAGCGCATACATTCATAACAAAAACACAAAAAATAATATAATACTAAGTGTATTACTATATGTTTGAACGATTTTGTTACTAATTTTTCAGTAAAATTTTTTTTATTAATACAACACAGTACAAATTATGTCTTATATTATTTTAGGTTCAAGAGTACCATTCAATACCCTGACTGGTGTAATCGATGCAAATACAGTTTACAGTGTTACTGAAGATTATGCCAGGTAATTAAAAAGTTAAAAATATGTTGAATCACCTAATTTTTATTTTATGTGGAAATGAGTTTATATTTATTAAATGGTAAAATATTAAACGAATATTATAATTTATAAGATTATATTAAACGGTTATTTTGAATCTTTGACTATTAAATAATTGATAACTGTATAATGTTAAATTAAATATAGACATCTAAGAGCTGGTTATGGAGGTTTACTTCGCATGAATCCAGCGTTTATTGATCACGGACTAAAAGATTTGTTGCCATTGAGACTTAAAGATCCAGACGAAGGATGTACTAGATTAAACCGTTCGCAATATTGTTTTGATGCTGGTATATTAAATTATATTACTATATATTATATACTATTAAATAACAGTTTTATACTTATACATATTATATATACAGACACCATTTAAAATAATAATTTTAAATATATATATACACCATTTAATTTGTAGGAGAAGTTAGAGTAAATGAACAACTCGTACTTGCTACTATGCATACAATTTGGGCAAGAGAACATAATAGAATAGCAAAAGAGTTTAGTAGAATTAATCCACATTGGGATGACGAAACTGTTTTCCAAGAAGCAAGACGAATCGTTATAGCAGAAATTCAGCACATAACTTATAACGAGTTTTTGCCTACGTTACTTGGAAAAGGAGTTATGGAAAAATTTGGACTACTGTTACAAAAAGAAGTAATTTAAATAATTAATAATACTATTGATTACAATTTCTTGAAAGAATGCTGTCATACTGGGTCTATTTTAATTGTTAAAAAAATAATAACTTATTATTACTTTGATACACATTTTAAATGAAACATAACTATATATATTGAAAACTATTGTTGAACTTGAAGATTGAGTTACTGAATTACAGCATTTTTGCGTAGTAATAAAGTATTAAAATACTTAGGTATGATTATATTTTCTTGTGTGTGGTTATCACTTATCAATATCTAATATGAATGTGTCAATCATTAAATTATACATTTTTATCATAATTAATACTTATTAAGCAATGTATTCTTTTTATTTAGGGTTATTGGGATGGTTATGATCCAAATGTTAACCCCAACATCCTATCCGAATTTTCAGCAGCAGCTCTTAGAATTGGACACACATTTTTACCGACTTCAATTGAAAGATGGAGTAAAGCTCACAAATTCATTGGTAGATAAGAATAAATTATCATATTAATATATTTATTTTAAAATAAGTAAAAAAATTAAATAATTTTTAACTCACGTCCATTTAGCTTCTAAAAAATTGTCCGATCTCATCCGCCGTCCATACGATTTGTATAGAGCTGGAGTTCTCGACGAGTATATAATGGGTTTAACTAATCAAGTGGCTCAAGCTATGGATGATTCAATAACACAGGAAGTCACGAATACATTGTTCAAAAAACCAGGTAATCGGTTTGGAGTAGATTTAGTAGCATTTAATATCCAAAGAGGCAGAGATTTTGGATTACCTGGATTTATGGAATATAGGTAAGTGATCATATAGTCTTGTAATGTGATGAAATTAAATGTACATAACATTTATTTAAAATAAACATTGATTTATGCTTTTTTATAAGTTAAATATATTAAATATTTAATTATTAGGCAATGCCTTTATTGTTATTCAAAATATTTTCATTTTTCAAATATTTCCACGAGAAAATAATTTTGTTTATATTTGTAATGGATTTACAAAAATGGATTTGTTTCTTTTTAAAATTTTTAAATAAAAGTTGCTTTAATATTAATTATCATTGTGACCAAAAATTGAATATTATTTGTAAATTTTATTGGTTGGAAAGAAAGCGAGTATAAATGAGAAAATAGATAGTTTTCAATATAATTTGATGTAATTTAAAAATAAATAACTGTAGATAATAAATATTTTAATTATTAGTGCTTTGCAAACATATGATTTATTTTTTTTAAATTTTGGTTCTTTTTGAATTACTAAAAGATATTTTTAAAGTTTAACTTTTCTAGTTTTTTTTTATATAAATATTAATAAAACTAATTTTTTCAGTAAAGAAACTTATATATCAAGAGGTTCTCTTAAAATTTTACTTCGATACATTAAAAAAAAAATTAGATTACGTAAGAACAGATTTTTAATGGAAATAGAGTCTTAGTTCTTTGTTTAGAATCTTTTATATTATTAACAATTTATAATTGAATTAAAATTTAACATATCCATTAGGGTGACCTACTTCATTGATGAGGTAAATTTTAAAACAATAGAATGACATAAAATATATGAATAAAAGTGAAATTAGTGAAATTAATTTTGTATTACTTTAATTATATGTTTGTGTTAGAAAATTTTGTGGATTACCAGCATCTGACTTATTCCAAAGTTTGTCTGGTGATATGCCTAATTCCACTATACATCGATATTCAACAATATACGAGTAAGTTAGAATTCACAAAATTAAAGCTATCATTTATATAATTAATTTTGTTCTTACAGCTCTCCAGAAGATGTAGATTTATGGTCTGGTGGTGTATCCGAAAAACCATTACCAGGAAGCATGGCAGGTCCAGTTTTTTCTTGTATTTTAGCCACTCAATTTAGTTATGCCAGAAGAGGTGATCGTTTTTGGTATGAACTGCCAAATCAACCATCTTCGTTTACTCCAGGTATTTAAAAATATAAATCTAATTTATTCGTTTATAATTTAAAAATAATCATTAAAAATACGATTTTACATTAATTTTACATTTAGATCAACTTCGTGAAATCCGGAAAGCTAGATTAGCCCGAGTGTTATGTGACAATACTGATTTGATTGACACTATTCAATTATGGCCAATCGTTTTACCTGATCATGAAATGTAAGAAATGCGTATATACATTTAAAATATTTAATATATTTTACTTTTTAGTTTTTAAATTAATGTTTCATTGAAAAATTTTTGATAAATATTATGTACATTATTCACGTAAAATGATAAATATCTTAATTACTTAATAATATTTTTGTTTAGAAACCCTCGAGTACCATGCCGCAGTGGAATTATTCCATCAGTAAACCTTAATAAATGGGCTGATTTTCCGACGTCATAAAATATGAAGTTTATTCAATTCTGATTAAATACCACCTATCATATAATACACAGAATGGCATAATATTCTAAATATTGAATTAAAATTAATGACATATATTTCAGTGATTACTGTATGATGTATTGGTAATTTTATAATCACTTAAGCATTCATTTTTTTTTTTTTTTACTAAAATTTTGTTATTATTTTTTTATTACATTAATAAGTAATGTCAAATTCAAAAGAGCATATTTTTATTAAATTAAATTAAATTCAAGTGCCACTTCATTTAGAAGTACTTGACTTTGATATTTCAATATAAATGTTTGACTGTCGAGTTCCTTCTCGTTTTACTCAATGTTAATCAATCAAAGTGTTAAATATAAATACCAATTTTTTATTTTTGTACAATTGTTTTTTTTTTTTTTTTTTTACAATCTTATTATATATTAAATCGATTATTTATTGCAGATTATATTACTATGAAATCTTATATTATTATATATTTAGGGTATACATATGAAAAAAAAACCAAAAACAACTAAATAGTTGGTAATGAAAAATTCAAAGATGTATATATTTATATTATGTAATAGTTGATATTAATTATTTTATACGATATATTTTTTTAAGCTGTATTATACTAAAAATGAAACGTACAAAATTGTTAATCATATTACTGATGAATAATAACCTAATAAGATAACTAGATTCATTTCTTTAAACTATGATAATTATAAAGAATATGACGTATCTGAAAATATTACCGTAATTTGATCATTGCAAAGCAGTCACTTAAAATGTTTTAAATCAAGTTCGATGAATAGCGTCTGAAGCCACCAGAAAATAAATTAAAACACCAAATCTTTCTAAACGATATAAGTAATCTAAAATCGTTTATTCAAATCATCATATAATTTACTTAATTTCTATGTTTCAAAAATAACAGGTAGCTACCCAGATAAACTCCTGTATTTTGATAAATATTTTATATTTTCTAATAATATGAGAAAGAGAAAAAATAGTTCCATGACAGTAGTGTAGCGAAATAGCCTATTTAGAACGCCGTGTCATCAACTTTTATTGATGGAAATAAATTTATATTTATATAGAAAAATTAGAACTACAATATCAATGTACCCGGTGTTTCCAAACTCATTTTTTTTTTTTTTTTTTTTTATTTAAATCTAAATTTACTCAATCAAGAATATTATTTTACTGAATTTTTAGTTTTAGATAATCCTAATTGCTAATATTTATCGTTCATTTAAATACATAAAATAATAATTCGTATGTAAGATGACAATAAAAAACAAAATTATCAATACTTACGTATACGAATGTTGCTCATTTTTGATCTGGAAATGTTTAATAGATAATATAACAAAGAATACATACAGATGCAGTGTTAATATTTTTACTAAAGATTGCTGATTGAAACGTATTATACTAATATCATTCAGAAATTAATTGATATTATATATTATTTCAACGAAATGAGTTATAAAATAACTAATAAATGTTTTTTTTTTACTGGGAATAATTTGGTTTTTAAAACATCATATTGGACCATCGTATTTATTGAATTATATTACTTTTTTGATCTTCTTTCAAAAGAAATTTGATATTACTGTACAATTAATATACTGAATGTAACATAAATTCTAATCATAATTAAACGAATTAATGATTTGGTATTAGTATAATTTAATTAATAATAAAAATTATACAAGTGTTTGAAATACTATAGGATTACATTAATGTTTAAAATTAATAATAATTTTAAATACAAATATGGTATAACTGATAAAGGCACTAATTTTAATAATAACATTGAAAATGTCAATTTTCTTTCACATTATACGTGTACTAATTTTATGGTATACATTTTCCGAGTTGTCCTTGGTTTCAATAGTGAAAGGCAATTTATAATTTTGTCATAAAAAAAAGTGGTGGAAGTTTTTCGTGGAAAAGATGTTGGTCTATTAGATTGTCTCCTTGTCCGTGCATACATGCATCTGATATGTACACAAGCAACAGTGAATATATTTAGTTATGCGATATTCATAAAAACTTCAACTTTAATGGACAGGTAAGTGTTGGTCATAATTTTATATTAATAATTTAATTAAGAATTCAATATGTAAATATTACATTTTTATGTCTTTTACAAAAATGTTAAAAATAGAATTAGAAAGCATACATTTATGTGATATTACAAAAAAAAAGTTCACCATTTTGATCTATTCAATTATTTCTGAAGCATGAAATATTTTATACTATTATTTAAAAGTAAGTATATTTTAATTTACACGTTTATAATTTTTATCACATACTCGAAACATCACACTTATTTTAAGTACTTATTCATTGATACGATTGTTAACTTACACTTATGTATAATGCTGTATGATCTATATGGCACTGAAATGGATGATTTTCAAAGAAAAATTATAAAATAAAAAAACGATTAATAATAATTAATTATTATTTATTATAGAGTACCATTTACTTTTAAATTTGTCCTCAAGATGATGATCTCTTCTCAAGCCTTTCTAATTATTATACTAATTATATTATTATTTATTATATTATGATTATTAAATAGTAGAAATATGACATACTTATACAATAAACATATTTTAATAAAAATTAAAGAAAAAAAATTTTAAATCAAAAATGTATGAACAAAATTAAAATGGATATGATTACTTTTAAGATTATTGTTTACTTTTAAATTTTTAAATGAAAAAATGTTTAAATTTAAAAATTTAAAAGTAAACAATAATCTTAACAGTATTGGATTTACGTTGGATTTTAAACGTGTAATTTGTCTCCAATTTTTTTTTTTTTATTAAAAATAGGACTAAAATTAATAAATCAAAAATAATAAAATTAATAATTGTTATTGTATTTGACATTTATATTATGTATACATTAACTGTAGAAAAACAAAAAACTATTGAAAGATAGATTGATTTTAACCCGGGTAAAACACTTGATCTAATAGCTAGTAATAGTATAAAAACCATTAATATAACTTGTATTTTATGCGTACTCGATAAACGATTTGTAATTTGTATCTTTATTTATCGCATTAGATATTTATTCGATAAGAATCATAATACGATTTAGATTTTAGACATTCCATTTTATAAGTATGTTTATATTATAATTTATACTTACTCATAAAATTTATTATGAATTAATTTCCAAAACTGTAGTATTTAAGCAAAATTAGTTGATTGAATAAACATAAAAAAAAATCAAATATAAATACAATTTACAATATATATTTTATACATTACACAAAAAACTATACCTACTTCTGTATTTTATTTTCAGTTCTTAAACGTCATGCTCCATAATGATGTTTCTCTAATAAAGTACAGGACCTGTCATTATACTATATTATGTCTTATCAATACATTTCTAGGTAATTCATGTTATAGATGGATTAGGTCAAACCATAATTATTCCCAATTGACATTTTGAGTCGTGTCCTGTTTTAGAAAATTATTACTGAGCTAAAAGTAAATTGTTGTTATAATTAATGGATGGCTTCTTTCTAAATATATATTCATATCACTATATTTTACTATAATATGCTTGTTAACTGTTATCATTATTTTTCATTAAAATTATAAATTTACTAAAAAAATTACAGTAATATAATAGAAAACCATAATTCATCATTACTATCATAAATACAATACTAAAATATTTTATTCCTTTATACGTTGGTAACCACTTTCTCTGCAGATGGTCAATTACTTACATTTATTATAGTAGTAATGTAATATAATTATAGTTAAAAATAAATTACATTTTTGTTTATTGTCACACGGTATCTCCTATATAGGCATATTCTTAGAACTATATTTTTATATATTTTGCAAGTTATTATGAAATCTTACCCAAATAAAATATTCAAAATGTTTATAACTATATTTAATATAATAAAGTATTTACAATAGCCCAATTTTAATGTAAGTTATTAATATAACAATTTTATGGTAATATACTAGTTAAGTTGAATAATCATTACTTTGCAGATAGTTTTTAAGAATTAAATTATTTAAATATTTTTTATTTTATATTGTTTTTGGTGTACAATATTTAATTAATTCATCATATTGAAAATTATCAACATTTTAGTTATTATTATTATTTTTATTAATTTATTACGCTTGGCATTTAAATAAATTCATAACATTCTTAATTGATCACAATAATATTATTACTCAACATTAGCTTTAAAATAAATTAAAAAACTAACCCTTCTAACTAAATGATCTCATAATACTAATTTCACAAAGTATTTATATAGTAAAATATTGTACATATACATTTCAATCGAAACATTTTTTTTTTTTTTTTTTTTGAAAAACACTAATATTTTTGGATATTGTTTTTCATTATCCGTATCTATTATGTATTAATGGCAGTTATATAAAATGTTTAATTAATATAATTCAAATTATTACTTCTCATTCTAGATAGTAGCTAGATATATTAATCATTAATTTGGTACTTCTTATACGTACGAAACGAAAGACTAAAAATATAAATAAAACAATATAACAACGGATATTGTAAAATACGCGATCGAAACATAATAACCTGTTATTACTTATCTTGATTCTTGTACAAACGTTTCATTTTATATAACATGCATGCATGAATATAAAGTTTAATATTAATTATTAAGCATCTGTTGAAATGTGCACTTAATGGTAGCAACGTAACGTTTACAGTCTGGATGTAATACCTGCGAATTTTTTTTTCAATATAAATCGCCAATAATACCTAAATAATTAAAGAACAATAAAGAATTTTTTTTTTTTTATGTATTTTTTAGTAAAATTTTATTATTATTTTAATTAACGCCAAATTAATTTAATTTGAGTTACGTTTAACATTTTGTATTATAAACTGCAGTATATTTTCATATTTAATTATATGAGTATAACCTAAAACATGTAATAATATGATGGAGTTATTGTCATAATAATCCATACACCTATCGTAAACTACCTTGAACTTTAAGTAAAAATTATGATTATAGCTGTATAATATTCTTAATGATAGTATAATTGAGTTTAGCACCACTATTTTTAAGATGGATTCCCATAACATTATATATTTTTATTGTATAGAAGCTTATAAGTTATAATAATTATTAT